ACACACACACACACTTGTGTTTTTCTATGTGTAAAAATGCTATACAGCAGATATTGGATATCCATATTTGGATATACAGTGAGATGCAAAGCGTTTACCTCTGAACAGCATTTAAATCAACCCAGGATGTTTGTAGAGGATTGTAACAGGGCAGTCTGGCCCTTTTAAGAGGGAGTATGCAGCCCTGTTGAGGAAGCCCGGCTGTGGATGTTTAGGTAATGAGGGAATATCCTACTATCAGCTTAAAACCCTGGGGGAAACAGCAAACTGGGTAAAGCAGTTTGCTGGTAGGAGGTAAAATGGAACCCAAAATAAATTCGCTGCCGCGAAGGGTTCACACTACTGTAGTTACTGAAGTTACTGCACCGGTCCAGAGCCAAAGGAGGCCTCTCTCACTTCCTGAAGAAAGGCTAAAGACTTTGGTTTTGCTGGTTGGTTGGTTTGGTTATTTGTTCAGTGCAAGGATTGTATCTTTATATTTAAGGGGTTGGGTAAGGAGCTCCTTTGGGTATCCTGCAAGACAGCAAGCTCACCAACCAACTTAAAGGGATGATACCCAAATTTAAAAATGTGGAAGTGAAATCTTTTCCAGTGATTATTTGTCTGCCTTCCTATTGGGAAAGATAAGGATTTTTGGGTTGAAAAAGGCAGCTCCTTATTTAGGAAGCTAGCAGATTGCCTGTCATGAATGACGGGAGTGGGGGGAGCAGGTGGGGACAGAGTGCCGCCACCAGAGCCGCCCCTAGGGGTGCATGGGGCCCGGGGCATATCAGCCTGTGCAGGACCCGGGGGGAGGGGGTGGCAAGCATCCACAGTGTGGAGCCGGCAGCAGCCATGGCAGGGCTTGTATGGCACTGTCTGTGGAGCCCAGGGCAGTCGTCTTGATTCGCTCCCCCCCTTCTCCAGGGATGGCCCTGGCTGCCACCCAGCGCCCCGCGGTGCCACTGCTCTGGCTCTGGTCCTGTGTGCCACCCCTCTGCGTCTTGCCCTCCCCCCCGCTGCTCCCGGTGCAGCCCCCCACCTTCTGCCACTCCAGCCCACGCCACTGCTGGCTCCCAGGAACAGGGAGGAGGGGAGTTTGCATATGGTGGTGGCTGCCAACACCCAGTGCCTCACGCTGCCACCAGTCTGTGTCTGGCTGCATTCAACATCGCCCCCTTCCCTGCCTCCCCTTCTTCTCTCCTCCCTCCCTCCCTTCCACTCTTTGCTGGCTGTTATCAGGGCTGGGCAGCAGTGGCAGCGGGTGGGGGGCATAGCAGCAGTAGGGGGGTGCTGGCATCAACCACCCCATTCCCTGTCCTGCTCCCCTCTCTCCTTTCCTTCCTCCCCTCTGCCTTGCTGCCCCCTCCCCACCATGGGGAAGGGCAGGGACAGAGCACCACTACCCACCATCCTGTGCCTCCACCTGCCATGAGCAAGGGGGGATCCTTGCCCTGCTGTCCCCGCTGCCAGCACCTCACACCACTGCCACATCCAAGGGGTGGTCTGGCTCCCCCTGGCCCTGCTCCTTGGAGATGGTGGCTGCATGGGGTGCTGGTGGCGTGGCGGTGGCCTCGC